CCCCAAAACCCCAAAACCCCAAAACCCCAAAACCCCTTTAGTTTATGACAAAAATGAATTTAGTTATTTCTATCAAACATCTGTTTCAGTTTATCAATTTCACTCGAAAAGTGATCATCATTTTCCTCCAGCTCTTCGATTTTGTCATACTGAGGGTGCTGATAAGAGTACTCATTATTATACATTGGATTATGGTCTTCATAATTATCAACATTGGCAGGTTGATTCTCTAACCGTTGGTTCATAGGCTTTGAAATTCCTTTAGAATACTCAATACCAATATCCCTCTTGCTATTTTTCTCTATTATCCACATTTTGTGTCTGACTGGTACGACGAATTGAATCGCTACCTAAATGGCTCTGCTGCTTCATCTTAGAAGCGAATTCTTTCATTCTCTGTCGCTTTTCGTGTTCTTTTTGCCATTTTTCGTTTCCAATATTGGCACCGAGTCCTCCTCGAACCTTAGTAACGAAATCATCAGCTTTATCAAACATATCTTTATATTCTCTCAGTGTGTACGGTTTGTAATTGACTGACCTCCTGCTTTCAGCTTTCCCATCAACCATTGCTTTAGCAGCAGAATTAGCTATTTTCCTAGAATTATGAGCCTTGCTGGCCTCTGGATTCACTTTTCTCGACTTATTTTGCAGAAAAGAGTGAGATCTTCTCATCTGGGGCTTTTTAGCAGAGCTTTCAGGTGCATATTCAGACTCAGGAATATACTTCTTAGGCTGAGGAACCCTCTCAGCTGAAGCTTTGGATAGTCTAGGAATCATGCTTTGCCTTTGTACATCTTCAATATCTGTATTATATTTACCCTCAGTTCTCTTAGTTTTACTATTCCCGTTCTTCTGGATTGCATTAGAAATATTATGATTAGTGTTCACTGGTAATGGAGGTCTGGGATGCCTGTATTGAGATTTACTCTTTATCTTATCCTTCTTAACTTCCTCTCTTCTCTCTCTGATATTTCTATTAGTCTTGTTGACAGGTTTTTCTTCCTAAAAATGCGATTAATTACCAATCTGTGTTAATTAATTTAAGAGCAACTCTACTTACTTGATCAAGAGCTTCATTTCCTGTTTCGATTTCTTCGTCAACACTTTTGTTCCTCCCTGCTGAAGCTTTGGAAGGCTTATTAATCTTGTTACTTCCAAGGACATTGTTGACAACATTCGAAGTGTTTTGCTTTCGTATACTGTTTAGCTTATTCTTCATTTTATGATAGCTTGGAGCACCCCTTGCTCCATAGTTATCACTAAGTGAATCATTAATACTTTCGTGATTTGAATGCTGAAATTCTTGCATTGTTGCAGGGGCTCTGTATTTGGGGTGTGCACCATCACTCATAATTTCAAACTTGCTGGAGTCTCCTCCGTTCATAGGAAACATTTCTCCACCCATTGCACCATTAGTATAAGGACCGTATTGTGTTTGAGGAGCTTGAGGCTTTTTCTTATTGTAATTCACCTGAGAATTCCTTGCATTATCAATATTAGTCATAACTGTAACATTCGAGTTTTGTGGATACATATTGGTTTGGGAAGTACCTAGAAGGAATTAATGCTTTGATTCCTTACCTGCAACGAGTCCCATTTCTCCATCTTTACCTATAGTGGAGACCTTGCCTTTAAATCTGGTCATGAAGTCCATCTCTATGTTCGAAATATTTATAAATTTCTATTTTTGATTTAATTAGGGGTTTTGGGGTTTTGGGGTTTTGGGGTTTTGGGGTTTTGGGG